AACTCTAAAATCATAAGTTTTATACAAACTTTCATCCCATATTTTACCCCCTTATGGAATGAATTTCAAAAAATGCTGAAAGACGTATTTATTTAATTGTATTGAAGAGCATTTTTACCAAGTTTCAAGTAATTCTGATCATAAATATTTTTGAGTTGTATTATAATGTGTATTCCTGTGGGAACGAGATAATCGCCCGCGGTAAAAAGTAGCCTATATCACTCTCCAACCCTCCAACTATCTCCACACAAAAAATTACACTAATCCGTCACTCTGTTTCCACGGGAAAGAAAGACAAATAAATAAACAAACAAACAAACAAACAAACAAACAAACAAACAAACAAACAAACACACTTTCACATTTATAATATTAGTATGGATTTCAATGCCAATTATAAGGTTTTGTGACTTTACATAGTGACTGCTAATACATAATATTACAATACGACCAGGATTATTATGGAAATACATGGAAATATATTCTAAATACGAATACAAATCTAGCATTAATTTTATTTACGTAATAATATGTCGTTATAATGTATTTTATATAACCACATATATATAATTATATTTTTATTTATAATCTTAAAACATAAATATATAAGAAAAGTCGGATGTCCGTATGTATCTATGCATCTTTTTAAACTAACCAGTTACAGGCTTACCAGTTTCAGTGATTATTTTCTTCATGCAAACAAACATATTTTAACTTTTTTAATTAATGTAAAACTAACTGCATTCACATCGACGCAGCCAACTTACTATAATTTCCCACACGTACTATATACATACAACATTGACCATCTATACATATAATAAAATCGTAACTAAGCCGAATCTGTACAATAAATATTTTTTTGGAAAATCTTTTTGAAATAGATATTATTTATATATATGTATCCACATACAGAGACCAAATCTATAGTTTTTAGAATTTTTGTCTATCTGTCTGTCTACCTGTCTGTCTGTCTGTGGCCGTATCACGGAAAACCACTGGAGGCATTTTGATGAAATTTGGTATGATGATAGTTGGTTATCGTGGGTCAACATATAGGATACTTTTTACTGCGGAAAAATATCTCATCTCTGAGTAATCTATATTAAACGCGAAAACGTAAGTAGGGACACAGGGAGACGCTAGTATTACATAAAATTAAATTTTCTGAAGTACTGAATACTGAGGTATGTTTTAAGGTACTATTAGTTCTTAAATATTTTGTTCTACATGCTTAAAAGTGTAACGTTAACTCTTAAATTAATTTAATGGAATAAATAAATAATTATATTGATATTTAGAACCTAAGTTCTTTTAGAAACAACCTTTGCCATTTAATCGCAGCACAATGTACTATCCCTAGCAATTTGTGCACATCAAAGGAGGAGGAGGAGATGTAAGATAATACATTCCATAGGACTATACGCCTATTTTGTAACTACTCGAGGATAGGACTCATAAATATAACATCTACATCGCCCGTACATTATGGATATTTAAAGATTTAGAGATAATTTCACCACGTTCTGTAAATGTAAGTCGTGTAAAATAATTAAGTACATTTACGTTATGTGGCATAATTTTTAATATATTAACATAAAATGTGTTATTTGTTAATTTTGAACACTAAATAGTAAAATACTGATTTATAGGAAATTGGAACATTTTTCTCAAGGTTTGCTATTTTACAAAATAGTACGAACATGTCGTGGCGTCGAATGTCGTGGCGGTCATTCTTACCGAAATTAACCACCCAGAGTGAGCGCAAATACCAGAGTATTTGCGCATTCTCATACCTTGTGAAAAATATTTCATACTAGCGACTTACCCTAGCTTCGCTCGGATGCATACTCAGATTTATTACATTAGTGTTTATTTACTCTTTTTGACCTTTCATAAAAACAATACCTTACGAAGTAAGCGTCGCTTTTTCTGGTTGAATAAAAAGACTATATATATATATATATATATATATATAGTATGAATGTATGGTGGAGCGAAAATCATTTCGTAACATTTATCTTTATCTTAACAAATGTAAATAGAATAATAATGTTATTTACAAATCATTAACTGGTCGATAACCTATAAAATTTATCGCTATTAAAAAGCTTTCCTCAATAATCTTCTCCGTTATTTTCTTGTTTTTGTATTTTAAATCATGTTACCTAATTATCATAATCATAGAGATTTCACGTTTGACTATTTTTGGGTTTTATCACAAAAATAAGAAAATAAGATCATATATATATATATATATATATATATATATATATATATATATATATATATATATAAGAATATAGAAAATAAAATATAGAAGTATTCCTCCAGTATTAATTATTATGTCCATTCGTAAACTTGTTTTCATCTTTTTAGTTCGCTTTTTACGCAGTCGATTTTTTTATTTTTGTAAATATTTTTTTATTACTTCAGATAAGACGACAGCGCGCGTCTATCTGATAGGTATTTTTAATAAATCTTTTTTAATCTTTTGATTACGTAATATCGATCAGATATCAACGACCTCATAAATGGTTATAATAGTCTGCGAATGTTTTATATGAAGCTATAATAGAAAGGTAATAAATACATTTATATTCTTTTTTGTTCAAAGGTAACTGAACTTTTATACTGTAAAATTTTAAAATTTTATTGACTTAATGATATATTGATAGCGAAACACACACGATTATCATATTGTATAGTTATATGTAAATACTCTTTTTTTTTTAACGTTGGGAAATGCATTTACGCTCGAGGTGTGGGACTCACCGGCAAAGCCAGTACTACCCACTAAAACCCAACAAAGCCTTCCCCCGTCTCAATGGGGCGTCGCAGGATCGCTTACGCATTCAACTACGACGCCCCGACGGCAAGTCTGCCGAAGCAGACCACAACAACCACGGGGTTGCTCCAAGGTCCACTCTACTATCAGAGAAGTACCAGGAGCAACCCGCATGGTACACCGCCCTCCGAAGAGGGCCACCTCCCACCGCCCACCGAAGTGGGCCACCTCCCTGTGCGTTTCTTGGCTTCGCGCCCGGGTGGGTTGCCGGGCACTACTGAGCCCCCCCCCCACCACGGCAAGGTGAACGCACGTTGGGGGGGATATGTAAATACTCTATGCTGATAGTAACTTGGATCATATATTCGAAGTCGTGCAAAGATTCAATTTCTTAATTATCTACTTAAACTATCTATTGATAGTTTAAGTAGATAATTAAGTATTTGAATTCTTTATATTATTTATTCTCTATTACAGTTTAACTATAGCTAAATGGTCAAATGTAGAGTCAATGCAAGTTTGGAGGGATTTTTTATCCAAATAATTTGTCTTTTTAATTATGAAGAATAGAGAGAGAGAAAACTTTTATTCTTTTAATAGATTTCTATAAAGCAGTAAAAAAACATCGGGTCTTAAGCGCTACTAAACAATTTTCATTGACCAAGCCTCTTAAAGTGTACTTGTACGAAACGTGAGCGCAGAGATTTTTTACACTTAAATTAGCGATTCAGTAACATTGGAATCATATGATTAAATCGCTTTATCCGCCTTATAATTTATGTTTATGTTAATAAGTTTTTTATGTTTATAGCTCATTAAATTAAACAATTGTTGGCCTTTTCCAACAGCTATACAATATCCCGTAATGATAATAATATGTTTATTTTTAAGGAAATATTGATGAAACAATGCACGATTGTTCGACCTTATATCAAATCTAACTATGAATATTTCTTCTCTACCTGCAGCTTCGTGTTTTTCGACTCTATTTCAAAATACTGTTTTATTTTAAAAATCGTTTGTTAGCCTATTTCACATAAAAGATTTACTTATAGATCAGTATATTGAAGTTCAAACCATAAACCATATGCCTATTATTATAATTTCTATACAAGTTATCTCCTCTGACAATGTGGACTGTGGTAGCTACATGGTCTAAAATGAGTTAAAACCAGAAATATAAGGAAATAGTTAATTCATTGTTCTGGCTAGGACTAATTTTAATAATCCTAACAAATAATAACGTTACGATGAGATTTTTAAATCGTTTCATTTATAAGAATACAAAATATTACTAAGATAATGCTAGTTACAGCTAATCACTACTCCCTTTCGTTCTATGAAAGAGCACAAATAGATAAAAAAGAATGCCAACAATTGACAATACAATTACCAAGTGCTTGTGCAACTTGTTATCATAATTATGTAAACCTGTAAAAAAATGTTTATCATCTCATTCTGCAATGTACCATACATGTATAGAATCCGACACATTTTTATTACTCCTATTGTTTATGCGCATGCGCTAGAAAGCCAGCGGGTTTTGCAACAACCGATTACATACTAATACATATTTAAATCAGTTTTAGAGCCTGTAAGTAATATTTAGTAAAGAGTCAGGGCTTGAAGCTACAAGTAGCTAGGTGATATTTTTTTTATTTTATTCTTTTATTTATTTTAATCTAAGAGATTTTCATTATCAATAATTTGTTACATTTATGTAAGTAGGCTTTATTGTTTCCTGCATTATTATTTTTTAACGATGTATGTAGTTAGCGTCAACTTTAACTGTATTTTAATAATTTAAAGTAAATATTAATTATAACTACTTCCTACAGTTAACATAGCGTTAATGAAATCACTTTCTTATAACCTGATAAGAACGCTCACGCATTGCATAAAGTAATGCAGACTTGACTTACATACATTTTTCACTTTTTTTATTGGAGTTTTACACAGAATTGTTTTTATTTGTATAGCTTTATGTAAGGTTTTCTAGATGGGTAAAAAGAGAATCTATCTTTAGTGACACTTCCATCTTCCAAATCTTCCTGTGAATTTTCATATTTTAATTAAATATAAATAAAATAAGTTAAGCCATGTATATTAATGAATTTACTTATTCTGTTTAATTTGTGGTTAAGGTCATTAAACGTTTAAAAGATAAAGAAGTATTTTTGTATCTAACAATAAGTTATTTTTGTTACAGATAATGTTATCAAATAAATCGAGTTGGGTCTTTCTCGGGCTTATCGTGTCTATTGCCAATGCCACAGTCCCGGGGGCAGCGAGCACAAACGAAATAAATGAACCACAAAAGAAAAAAACGTATAATGGTGGTGCCTTGTACCCCCAAACGACAAATACAAGAGATTTGAGGATTTTAGATGGAATATGGAACTTTAGGAAATCACCCATGGATCCTGAATATGGTTATAGGAATGGCTGGTATGAACAAGATTTAGAAAAGGTACCAATTTGAAATAAAAAATATAAAAATTAAGTATAACATATTAAATTCATGTATTTTTTTGTTGGATATGTTGTGTGGTAGGTGAGTAAGTACCGGACTTCATAACCTCGACCATCTCAATGTCTTGTCGGTATGTGGATTGTTTGTCCATAGTTCACCAGGTCATTTACCTCGCATCCTGATTTGTCAAGGATATTTTCGTTGTGCTGTTTTTTTACTTTTTATCTTTCTACATATCTGTACTATAATAAAACAATAGAGGTCGAATGTCTGTACATAGCAAAAAAATGCTAAAAACCGAGTCAGGGGGATGTAAGAAGACAAATAGAACAAATCCAGAATTTTTTCAATTTTTTTGTTTCTCTGTCTGTTTGTCTGTTTGTACGGGCTAATACCGAATCTGTTAGACCGATGTAAATGAAATTTCGCGTGGTGGTCCCTTAATCCCTGGGCAACATCTTAGATACTTTTTATCCTGGAAAATTAAATAGTTCCCGTAGGATAGTTAAAAAACTATAATAACTTATATAGCTTAGTACACAAAAATTACTGATTGGATTTTAATAAAACTTTACAATAATATAGTTCATACATGACAATAACAAATCGGCTACTTTTCATCCCGGAAAATTAAAGAGTTCCCGTGGGACAGTCAAAAAACTATAGTAACTTATACAGCTTAGTACACAAAAACTTCAGATTGGATTTTGATGAAACTTTACAATAATATAGGTCATTCATCAGAATAACAAATAGGTTACTTTTTATCCCGGAAAAATGTACAGTTCCCGTGGGATAGATGTTTTCGTTTATGTTGTAACGTATTATCTACACAACATAGACCACAAAACAATAGCTATTAAAAAAAATGTCTGTTTGTCTGTTTTTGTATGCGCGTTTCACGCGAAAAGTAATGAACCGATTTCAACTAAATTTGGTGAAGTGATAACTTATTACTAGAGTCAATGTTTAGGATACCTTTTACTTAAAGAAAATCTTTCTCTGTCACGGGAAGATACAATAACTGGTTTTATCGAGTCCTCCCTAGAAGCCTTCCGCTGGCTAAACCTTAAGACATACATACATCAAAACAATATACTAAAAAATTATAGGTCTTGAAGTCCTACAGGAAAGTTATTAATAGTATATGTATATCTCCTAAGCAATATCTATTCTTATCTATACCTATAATAAAACTAACTTAGTCAAATCGATGTGCGAGTTTCACGCAAAATGTACCCAACCAATTTTAACAACATTTTGTATAGTGATAACTTAGTATTACGACAGGCAAATTATTCATTCCCACGGGAAAACACAATAACTGGTTCTATTGAATTGTCTTTAGAAATTTATATGGCTAACGCTGGTTCAACCTTAAGAGATAGATCAAAACATTGTACAAGAACATTAAAAGTCTTAAAAAGGTCGATAGAAAAGTTCTCAATAGTACACCTATGTCTATCTCCTAAGGTACACTCGCTATAACTATTTTCATTACTATATATTACTGTTTTATTATACGTTATTTATTCTATCTACAAATATAATAAAACTGTAGTGGTCGAATATCTGTACATAGAAAAAAAATGCTACAAACCGAGTCAGTTATCTTCATCTTACATCCCATAAGAAGAAAAATAGAACAAATCCAGATTTTCAATTTTTTTTTGTTTCTCTGTTTGTCTGTTTGTACGGGCTAATCTTCGAAACTATTGAACCGATATAAATGAAATTTTTCATGGTGGTACTTTATATCCCCGGTCAACATCTTAGATACTTTTCATCCCAGAAAATTAAAAAGTTCCCGTGAGATAGTTAAAAAACTATAGTATCTTATATAGCTTAGTACACAACAACTTATGCACCTAATTTAGTAAAATTTAACATTCTAATACCTTATATTACCGGTCAAACAACAGGTTACTTTTCATCCCGGAAAAATGAACGGTTCCCGTGGGAACTCATAGATCTCTATTAGTTTTTCATAATATATAATACCTACTTATGTATAAAACTATTATAATGTATCAACGTAATTCACATAATAAAAATCTTAAGGAATTCATTTATGATTTTTAAGAAAATGTCTTTTGTACAACACAAACATAATAAAGAAAACCGGTTTTTGGAATTTTTATATAATTTTCCGTTTGTCTGTTTTGTTTGCTCAGATTATTTTTCATATTGTAAAAAATTATATGTATAGACTATAGATATTTGGTATAGGTACTACCGACCCCATGTAACGTGGGATATTTTAATGAACATAATTAAAAAAACCAAAGTTTTATAGATCCTGGTAGCTCAAAAAATAAGTTAGTTTTTAGGTAATTGTAATATATAGTTTACTAGCATTGCTCGCGGCTCCGCCCGCGTTCAGATGACCAAAACCAAATTCTTAGGTTTTACATACTGGTATACTCTTACAAGGCAGTTCTTGTATTTTTTCTCAAAAATGAGATATTTTCCCGCGGTAAAAATCCGCGGTAACCAGCTATTATCATACCAAATTTCATTAAAATCTATTCAGTGGTTTTCTCGTGATGTGGTAACAGACAGACAGACAGACAAAAATTCTAAAAACTATAGATTCGGACTCTGTATCGATAATATTGTCTATTTCAATTAAATTTTCCAAAAAATATTTAATGTACAGATTCGACTTAGTTACAATTTTATTATATGTATAGATTATTATTTATTATTTTTCTCATTCTAGAGATTCAATGGAATTACCATCATAGCTAAGTATAAGTTGCTATATAGCAATATGACCTATATTATTATACCGTAAATACGTGTATTACTGTATAGTACCTAATATTTCCATTGCTTATGGTTGCATAATTATTGAATGTCTCACGCACGCTAGTAAAACATAAAGATCTTTCTCATGTGATTTGTTAACGTTAATTCTGTAAAGACTGGGGAGTGTTACAGCTAACTAACTTATATTGGTCAACTTTTAATCTCACTTTGTAAGCAATAATAAAGTTAATGAAATATATTTTATTTAACCAGGTAAATTTCTAAGAAATTAAGTGAATTTCTAAGAAATCTATTGTTAACTGTAACACTGGCATGTCCGCGGTCGTTGAGGGAATATTCAAATTCAGATTCTTTAAAAAAGCATTTAAATGATTTCAAAAAATATTTCATCAGCTGTTACTTATGTGGTGAAGTTCTCATACTTGAAAAATAGGCTACAAAAATGCTATTTCTTTTAAAGACTGGACCAGTTATCCCCATGCCAGTTCCAGCTTCGTATAATGATATAGGGGAAGATGCGGCATTGCGGGATCACGTTGGCTTGGTTTGGTACGACCGACGGTTCCACGTACCACCCTGGTGGGCCAAGACGGAACAAAGAATATGGCTTAGATTTTGCAGTGTACATTATGCCGCACAAGTGGTAAGTATTTAAACTTTAACTAAACTAACATTTTAAATTAAATGAATAATTTGTATAATTAAAATTTAACGAAAACTTCCGCAGTTCGAATTTTAACCGATTGTGTTGAATCCGGTTATGTCGTACTGCTTCAATTCAAAGTAATCCAGATTACAGAAGATACACTAAATGCGACCTTCTACCGGATTTCTTTCCATATTAGTTCAAGTTTATTAAACTCCTATTATTTTAACACACCTGTGTACTTAAATAATGAAGTACAATTTAATTTTGTTAAGAAATAAGAAAGTTTCTTTTCGAATAACCTGTGAAGGGCCCTTATTATATAACAGCTTACCTAAGCGATACTTATAAACCATTCTGAAACTAAGATATAACTGAATAAGGACGAAGTTACTCGAATTTAGGTATGTACCTATGCCAATCATCTGTCGCTAGGCAATTGGTCCTATAATTGAACAATTTGTTAGGTCAGGCGAGACCGGTGTCGCGATAACCACACCCGCAACTCTTAATCGAACGACTGATACTAAGCGAAATGGTAAATTCAATTTCTCCTTTTAGCATATTTCATATTATAATGTAATGAATTCAACGTTAATTAAATTATTATCTTCAATATTAATGAATTTATTTATTTAAACTATACATGAAATAATATAAACATTAATCAGTCAACAGGCCAATCTTCATTTAACTAATTTGCTCAGGAGTGCTTTGGTATTTAGACTATTAACCCCAGTACAATCGAATACAATTAATCTAAGTACATTGTTTTAAGTGCTCTATATCACAATTGTTCTAGCCATGCCACGCTCATATGACCTGTCTCAACTCTTTACATTACAGACATCCTCTCGCTAATTTTATTAATTTAAATAAAAAAAAGTAATTATTTAGTAAATGTTTAAGCTCTCTTGTCGATTAACAATATTTATACACAGTACGTTCAATTCAGTACTTCACACATTAATACATATATAAACAGTGCTGCAGTATCCGAACTTAAAAGTAATACCCAATGGAATCGTTCTAAATTTCACGTTTTACGTAATAAAAATAGTTATAAAAACTTTAATTATTGTAATCTATACTAATATTATAAAGAGGTAAAGTTTGTGATCTTGTGAGTTTGTGAGTTTGTGAGTTTGTGACGTTGTAGGGGGTAATCTCTGGATCTACTAAACCGATTTTCAAAATTCTTTTACCAATAGAAAGCCACGTTCTTTCTGAGTGTCATAGGCTATATATTAACCCGAAAAATGAAAAGGCTTTTTCGTGGTAGTCGGATTTGCAAAGTAAGTCGGAGAAAAAACGGTCGAACGAAAACGTTTCTTACGAACGCTGCCTTAACGATAAGACATATATGATTATATTCTAGGGAAAAGTTGTAGAGCTTAATAATGCCTACAAAAAAGTCAGCGACAGCATATGTCTAGCTTTTATATTTAAGTCACAGAAAGTAGATTTTTATATTAAAAAAATCATTTAAATCGGTAGGTCATGTTTATTGGTCATATTATCAACAATTATGAATTCTTATCAAAATAAGTAAATTTATCGTCTAAAATGTTTAAAATAAAAGACTTTTCCCTTTTACTGCATATAATTTGGACAAATGGTTAAAGAGATAATACAACATATTCGTATGTATGGACGAACCCGAGCGAGCTGTTTATCTGTTTTTCTCTTTGTACGGGCTAATCTCCGGATCTATTGGACGTATTTCAATGAAATTTTGCACGGTGGTACCTTATATCCCCGGGCAACATCTTAGATACTTTTCATCCTGGAAAATTCAAGGGTTCCCGTGGGATAGTTAAAAAACTATAAAAACTTATACATCTTAGTACACAAAAACTACTGATTGGATTTTAATGAAACTTTACAATAATATAGTTCATACATGACAAAAACAAATCAGCTACTTTTCATCCCGGAAAATTAAAGAGTTTCCGTGGGATAGTCAAAAAACTATAGAAACTTATACAGCTCAGTACACAACAACTTATGTACCTAATTTAGTAAAATTTGGCACGCTGATACCTTATATTGCAGGTCAAACAACAGGTTACTTATTTTTCTCCCGGAAAAATGAACGGTTCCCGTGGGATATATCTGTTTGTGCTTTTCTAGAGGTGAACCCGAGCGAAGCGAGGGTGAGCCGCTAGTTTATTATAAAATATTAGGTCTCTAAAAGACATTTCGATCAACAAGCAAATGTCGCTATGATAATCTACTTACAATATACCGTTATTAACCGATTGACTTACAATGTACACATGCAAACTCGTAGAAACCAGTAACTCTATCAGATGAAAATCGTTTTGCGGCTGCAGTTTGTGGCAGATATTAGAGGAATGCGGTAATCGACATGATATACGAGCCAAGACATCGGACCATGAAACTGATGAAAGTTAACTGAGTAGATTTATAAGTGTGTAACATATGTCACTTTTCACATATAATGTCATTTTGAGGTTTAAAAATTAAGATATCTCAAAAAACAACTATTCACTTACTGAGGAACATTAGTTTTACGTAGGTAACATTATAAACAGGCAGCTAATACTTATATAAAAAAATACAAATTTGCGGGTAGTTATAAACTATTTTACTCATTAGAGTCAGAGATTAGAGAGAGAGAGAGAGTGGTTTTAAGTATATGTTTAGTTCATTGTCATATAATATTAAGATTTTAATTCAATTCAATTGTAATTTTAAGTTTTAACTTTAAATTTAGTAATAAATAATTTGATATTAAATTTAGGATGATATGATGAATATTGATGCTTTATTTGGTTTACTTATTGCCAATATGTATTTCTAATATCTTTTTATTAGATTCCATTGGTCTTTAACTTTTGATATTATTTACGTTACCAATTAGTTATATAATATATATAGGCATTGAACCTTCAAACATAATATTTACATTTTTGTCGTAGTTTGTGTGTGGTTTGTAAAGTTTAAAATTATTTGCATTTCGAAGCAATTTACTATGCGTTAGTTTATTTTTCGTAAAACTTATTTGTGTTTGTATGTCATGATTTAATATACATATTTCATATAAGAATGTACGTTTTATAAATATTACTTCATTAAATATCAAAAAGCTTCGTTTCTTTATAAATTTGGTTTATAGGTGTAAGGTAATCGTAATGAAATAACATTTTATTCAACCTGTTTTGTGTTATTTGTAACATTGTATTTAGATTACTTTTAGCTACATTAACCCAAAGTTATATTAAATAATCAATTAGTGACTTCACTAATGAATTATAAATCATATTGCAAACATAAGGAGGAAAACTTCGAACAGTGCCTGGCAATAATCCATTTCGACAAGATAGCTTTGATTTCACTTTTTGAATGGGAGATTTCCAAGTTACATGATCATCCAAAACTAGGCCTAGGTATTTTTCTTCGTTTACTCTAATTATTATTTAGTTGTCTATATTTAATTCAGTGGTAATTTTGAGTTTTTTATTTTTTACAGAGAACTATTAATAGGTACTTTTTTTGAAGTATTTATAGCTAAGATGTTTATCCTTGAACCATGAATTTAACAGGTCTAACTCATTTTGAGCGTCATTAAAAATATCTTCAAGTGAATTTCCGAAGTAAAATAGGAAATGTGTCATCGGCATAAACGGCGAGATCCCCGTTTAAACCAATAAGACAAATGCTATTATAATAATTAATATATATATATATATATATATATATATATATATATATATATATATATATATATATAATAATTATTTTAATGATTTAAATATTTTAAATTATTATTCTAACATTATTTACAGTTAAATATTACAAAATTATGTTAAAGGTCCTGACATAATGTATATATGACATATATACATGACATCTAAATTATTTATACGAAAAAATAATAAAACAAAATAATAAAACTTACATAAAACAGGATCTAGCGGTTTGAAAATAAATTAAACACCACCAAATATGGCTTATATCAACGAAAAACAAAAGTAATATTTGTTGTATCATTAGAAGCAATATGCTAAACTTATAAATAATATGTATATTATGAAGAATGAAGTTATATCTTAAATACAGTATGTACTTTTTATAGAGTTCTATGTTAGCGAAGAAGCAGCGCTTAATTTGAAGGTGACCAAAGAGACGTAGAGTTTGAAATAATGTTCTTCAGGAGAGCGAAATACTACTTGTTTAAATTTTGATTTTCATTCATGAAAAATCTAATAATTTAACTAATAATTTAAAAAAGATTTACAAATGCTGTGAAATAACATGTTTAAATAAATTCAGCGAGAATATTGCATAAGTATACAGATAAAAAAAGCGAGAAATATGAGTGTGTGAGTAAAAAATATTTCCGAATATTTAACATCAATTTTAATCGTTAGGTTACGGCGCGGCTATTTACTTATTTTCTTCTCATTATCAGTGAATTTCAACGCCCACCTACTGAAAAAAGTTATTGTTACTATACATTTCCATTATAAACATTACTAAAACGGAAGTTTCCATGTGGTTCAATGAATATTGAAAATATTCATTTTTTTAAATAATTCTATTTGCTCGTGAACTAAATGACATCTACACTAATATTATTGAAATTACTGAAGCGATTTTAATCATTCTTTACCTTCGGAAAGCGATATTGCTATTAAAGTATCATCTAGAGACGTAGTAATTTTCTAGATTTTGATATTGTGGAAATCGTTTTGTTTTGTAATACATTAATAGTGATTGTGAAATGTAATTTTTTGTAAATTTTGCAGACTCCAGATATAGTATTTTATTTTAAAATACACACATAATTTATTTAAAAAGATGTATTACGTATATATATACATATAAAAATGCTTCATAACTCTATCAAAATACCATCCTCTCCTGGGGTGGGATGATTTTTAAACAAAAATTTAATTTAATATCCGAAATATATTTATTACATTTATAACAAATGATCAGGCAGTGGTAGCCCAGTGGTAACGCGCTGGCTTGGGAAACCGAGTAAAGCGAGTTCAAATCCCGGGTCTCGCACCTCTGATATTTTCATGTGCGAATCATTTCCAACATGATTACCACTTGTCTTAACGGTGAAGGAAAACATCGTGAGGAAACCTGCATGTCTGAAAGAACCTAGCAAGTTTTCAAAAGACATGTGAAGTCCGCCAATCCGCACTTGGCCAGCGTGGTGGACTATGGCCTGATTCCCCTCGTACTGAAGGGAGACCCGTGCCCAGCAGTGGGACGTTAAAAAAAGGGCTGTATACATAACAAATGATCACACTTAAACTACGCGGAAAATAGGAATGACGTCACTTATCGAGGCAGAGATTATTTCTCACTCAATTAAAGCGACTTTAAACATTCTTTTGATCGAATCTTTAAAAAACATCCATGTTTTTTAAAGATTCGATCTTGTTAAATATTAATGTGGGATAAAAAATATTTTACTTTCGACTTCAGAAACTTTTCCATTATCGTAGTCTCCAAATTAAGTGAGATAGATGACTATGTTCAAAATATAATCATCTTAATCCATTGTATTGCTTAATATTATACTTTAACACTTTCTTATATTTACGCGAATATTTGAAATTTTAAATAAAACTATGTTTTCGGATTATTTTGCGGTTTATCTTGACTTTGGCTTTTTGTAAGCATTCGAAACGTCCAACGTTTCGAATGCTTCACAGCAATCATGGTCACGGGAGAAACCAAGACTTTAGATATTTTATCTGTAAAGATTGCAATATTGTTGCTTAATATTATAACTTTTTTTAAATTGCATGTACAACAATAATACTGCTTAAATAAAAAAATAATATTTTTAATTTCTAATTTTCTTTGTGGTTACTGGTTATACTAATTATAATAATGGCAACACTATATAATATTATTAATTAATAAAGTTTACAAAAAAAATGTAATATTTATATTAATAACAGCTAAAATTAAATAAATAATATTGTTATATTAATTATAATACTTATAAAAAAAATTAAAATGTGTAGAATTAAATTCAACAAATATTGTAAGGTACTTTGATGCCATTTTTTGGATTTTGAAATTATTTTTGTAAAATTAGGGTAGGCATTGTCTGTAACAAGTATATAAAGCTTTTGAGACGTCTAAAGCCTTAGTCTCTCCCGTGACCATGATTGGTGTAACTGGTGCATTCGAAACGTAGGGAACAAAAAATCAAAATAAATCCGCGAAGTAATCAGAAAAGATAGTTTTATTTAAAATTATAACTTTAATAATGTTACTTTTCTATGTCTTAGTGGATAAACGGGAAACCGGCAATCCATCATGAAATCGGGCACTTGCCGTTTGAAGTTGAAATTACTGACTTCATCAATACCAACAAAAGTAATCTGCTCACTGTGGTCGTCGACAATGTTCTTCTTAGTGATACGATGCCTCAGGGCACTGTAAAAGACATAGTTGTAAAGTAAGTCATTTTTTTATTTAAAATCTAATAATTGGACTAATATTGTAATTGCAAAAGCTCCATGCTGAAACCGCTGGACGGATTTAGATGAATTTAGTACACTCAACTTAAGATAGACTATGACCTAGAGTAACATATAGTCTACTGTTGGCTCCCTAAGGACGCTACCGGGCCGGTGTTGTTAGTAGTTTGAAACAAATTGTTTAAAGTAAAGAAGGTATGTTATATTGTTTACATCCTAAATTGTTTCCAGTAAATTTATAGTTAAGATAGACATGTAGTTGACATAGGAAAAATATGTATGTACTTGTAATGATTATATATTTTTTTAATAAATATTTTTTTTAACTAGCAATTTTAGAGTAAAACAGGAGCAATCGTACACATTCGACTTCTTTAACTATGCCGGAATCCATCGATCAGTATTCTTGTACTCCACACCTCAAATATATATTGATGACGTCGTCGTTAACACTGACATACAAGGACTGACTGGTAAGTATGTTGTACAATATACAGTTGTTTTACAAATATAAATGTATTACTTTATATCCCCCAATAGTGTGGTAACTCTATAAACATTGACCCCTCTGACTATAAAATAAGGAGATTCATAGAACTAAACATGCAATCAAAGAGAAATGTCAGTGTGTATGTGCTTCTCGAATTTTGTGTTCAAAGATAGATGTGTAGATACTGGTATGTGAATTAAAGGTTCAAATGATCTTCCAAATTAGTATTAAGAAAGATAAATTCGGCTTTGACATGTTTTTGGCGGACTATATAATTAAATATATATTATGATTCTTTAGTCTGACATGTACCATAGCTACTATGGGTTGGTATGTGTCTTAAAATTCATACAGATGTTTCCTTCTCTTCTCTAGTGATTTTTTTGTTGAAACCCAGAAGAGCCCAGACCCACTTCTAGTGAAAACTAACTTTGAAAGACCTGCGTTTTTTTATTTTTTACATTAATTATAGTATGAATAATTAAAATTTCATAATTTGTAAATTGAAATTATTATTATTAGTCTCGTTTTCACTATCATAGGCACTCCGAGCAATATTAACAATTTGATATAAATTATTCATTAATCAAAGCAAAAGACGCTGCGCGTCGCAAGTCTGCGCCCGATTGTTTCGACAAGTAACATGTCACACGTAGCATGTCAGTGACGCGAACCCGTAAGTTTTGCCCCTACCAATAATCGCTCAACGCGGCTAAAGAAGTTATCATTTCAAAAAAAGAAGGGGCAAACGCTTGCAAACAAACATAATACTCTATTTTTTATATACCTAAGTAAATGACGTTATGTATGTGATACATACATAACGTCTTAGAGTCAACTTGAAAATTACTAATTTCATTTAAATAAATGCATCCAATTTCTCTAATTACACGGGCGTTTTCATTTCACATTCTAAGTAGGTAACTAGTAAATCTTACGTTTAGTATCTATTCATAGAAATTTATACAATTATGCACTTTGTTCATATAAACATAAAGAACTTTTGGAGTGTAAAACAGGTACATGTATTAAAATATGAAATCGGATCTTTTGAGGATATAAAATTAATAGCATATATGATTTATTCTATGAAGTATCTTGTTTTTATATTCTATTGATCGTTATGTACACATACCTTATATTAAAGCAAGAATTATAATTGTTTTCTTGAACTGTTCAATTATTCCCTTTATAAATTACTTATCTAGTTATTGCATTATAATGTTAAACGCCTTTACTATAGTCCTCAGCTCCGCCCGCATATTACGATAGTATAAATAAAATTATAAATTAAAAATTAAAAAAACTCCCTACGCAAATTAATTGTCATTTTACGATTACACTGGCACACGTGAAGCAATTAATAGAGTAATCATACGCCAAAATGCCTTACATCATTTTGGAAAAGAGCTGATACTCTTACACTGCTGGACCGATATTTTACTTTAATTTCAAATGAAAAAAACCGCATCGAAATCAGTCCATCCGTTTGAGAGCTACAATGCCACAGACAGACACACACACACGCGCAGACAGACAGACATGGACGTCAAACTTGTAGCACCCCTCTTTTTGCGTCGGGGGTTAAACAATAGCCTATATTACGTTTAACAGATTCCTAAACCCGCCTAGCTCAGTGGACACCTATAACTTTCCTGATATAAAATAGCTTTTACAATTACCTAAAATGCCGTAAAATTTTCTTATGCCTATTTCGAAGTTAAGGGATATAAATAAAATTACATACAAAAGAAAATAATGGTTGTACTCGCTTTAGTATCGTAAAAAACTTTATGAGCTTAGTTTAGGGCTATATAACATCAGTTAAATACTTTAAAACACAACAATTATGAACAAGAGCTTATATCTACACTTAGCAGTATTTATGTAGATAACAATGTTAGGTGTATATTCTCTGTTCTTTATAAGGGATGGTCAATATACTTTACATTAGAATTGCTCCATCATAGATATTTAGCAGATAGCAATGAATTATTTATTTTGTGATTAATGCTCTAGAAGTTGCTATAGTAATAAATCCAATATTTATTAACAATCTAGCAGAACACGCGGCATCGCACGCTAAAACTACAAAACAACTTCTAAAAAGGGAGATTTCATACAAACTTTCATCCGCTATTTTACCCCCTTATGGGATGATTTCGAAAAATGCTAGAACACGTATTTAATTAATTGTATTGAAGAGCATTTATACCAAGTTTCAAGTAATTCTGTTCGTGTTTTCCCATGGGAATGAGATGATCTCCCGCGGTGAAAAGTAGCCTATGTCACTCTCCAGTTCTCCAACTATCTCCACACAAAGAAGCACGCTAATCCGCCAAGCCGTTTCGACGTGAAAGAAAGACAAACAAACAAACACACTTTCACATTTATAATATTAGTATGGATGTCGCAATAAGAATTTCATACTTTTATTTAAAACAGTAAAACATCATAAGTTAATTATAAAATACCATTCAAATAAACACAAGCTTCTATATATTTATTTTCTTCTTTTTAACGTATTAAAATAAAAGTATATAAAAAACTCTTATTTATCTATTTTTTAGTTTAAAAATCATCGCGATTGCAAGTCATGGTGTGGGTCTACTATTTAAGTTAACTGAATCACAAATAAAAACGTTATAGGTAGATACACCTTTTTCGTGTTTGTTCTGTTGACCGTTGAGATCTCTCATTTGGAGCGAACCCTAGACGCAGCAGCTATAACTATGGCATTTATAACGGGCTATAAATATAATATAATTGAATACGTATATAAAATTTGGTGCCTGTACCAAAGTAGTTTCGTCTGGAGCCAATCCAACTAACCAACAACTAACGAGCTGAACCAACATGTAAAATTTCAACTAACATTGGACCCACTACAAACATACAAACTAAAAAACATTGGAAGATAAATGAAGGCGTGTAAAAAGAATACTAAGTCTTTATTTTTAAATACACCCATGTACAGAAGGTATGTAAATAATATTTGTGTGGTCCTTATATCTATTACCTACTTAAACTCATGATATACGTCGATACCTACTCATACGGACGTCATTTTATAAGGATCACGAATATTTTAAACGACCTTCATATCTTTTTATATTTAATAATAAACATTTCTAAATATGTATTAAAAGTAAAAGACGTCATTGTGACTAAAATAATATATTTGGCAAGTACATATTTATCTTGGTTTTACATTGATATAAGATGACAGTTAAGAGCTTTTTTAAACAAAATAGTTTAAACAAACGACATTTATATAGTCGTTGTTTAGGTCGTTGGTGTCACTACGTACAGTGGTTAAAAGAACTCTTTTAATAACTAATTATGATGATAGAATGTGTAATTTTTATAACAAATATCTTTGGAAAATATAATAAGAAAATATTAGTCCGCTATATAAATAAGAGTTTCGAGTAAAGTAGGGTTTTTACTTTATATACACAAGCAACGCTGGTACACACTATCCTAGAATATATTATCCGGAACATTTATTACAGCAGTGCAAATAACAATGCAATGATCATATCAACATTGCAGTGACGGATCAACAATAACTTAACGGTTCATGTAAACCAGACAGCTGTGACTGTTCCTGCTCAAAAATAGGTTTACAACGATTTGATTTTTACGTAGAGATAATGAATTAAACTACACAGACTATTTCCCAGGAAATTTTAGTTTATTGCAAAAAATAAAATTAAGAACGAGCGGAGTGTAGTGGTGACTGGTGAGCGAAGTCAGTCTAGTTATAAGTATAAAAGATTTTTCATAGTAGTCAATGAGTCAAAGTGATTTTGTATTAAACCGATACTCCCCTTTTCTTAGGAAATATACCTAATTCACGAATTTTATCCATTATCATAATAGGAGGCAAGGAATGATAAGTCCTTATCATCCCCAAGACTCAAGAGGGAATCGCCTCCAAACATCTTTGTTTTATCTATGAGATATGTTTGTAAAGTTATTTTTTTCTAAGATTACCCTCAAGTTTTATAAGCTGTAGTATTATTACTGATTACATAATATAATCGAGGGGCACGGCAGTGCCCCCGCCAAGTCGAGCAAAAAAAGGGCACGGCAGTACCATCCTTTTCTCGAAGTGATTCAGAGCACTTTCCACAAACAAAATTACTTCGTTATGGATAAAGCTAGAAGCCTGAATTTTGAGTGACTAAGAGAACATCATCAACATAACTAGGTATATTCAGACATAGGAGCTTCAAATTTTGAACACAATTAGTGTTTAGCCTATAACAGAAGGAAAAACTCAAACATCACGCAATTTCAATCCTGTTTTCGAGATATACAAACTGCATAAGTAACTTTGTAATCCTATACAAATAGATATGCGATATCAATGATGTTTTACCTCTTTTTATTATATCATTGCACTCTCTACTACTCTCTACTCTTTTGTTTCTGTAAACGAATAATCTTTTTCATTTTTATAAAGTGCGCTCAAAATTTAATGTTTAGTCGGTATTTAAGGAAAATTTGAAAATTGATTTTTCTGTAATTCTTTTGGGAATTAAATTCTTTTAGCCTAAGTCATTTGTCAGATCAAATCACTGGATCTAAAGGCTGAAACAGACCGCGTATTCCTGCAATATCATGACCATTAAAAAGTTTTTTTAAATTCAATTTTACTAAAGAGGTTTGTAGAAAGTTTGTATGAAAAACAATATTGTTCGTATATCAAATTATAAAAAAGACATTGCCTATAAACAACTTATCTACTAAATTTAATTTATACAACATTTCCTATTATATTATTTAAAAAACCTACTTAATAATTGGTAGTTTTTATATAGAAAATATGCAAATAAAAAATAAATTAATTTAGTTCATTAAATGAATTAAAAGTAGAATGCCTTATATACATATCTATATATTTCTTTTTGTTCTCGTTCTTAATGTGGTAATAGGCAACGACTTCATAAATTAGCTATCAGTATTGTACTCGTATATTATTATAAATTATGTAATTTTAAGATATGTTCTTTAAAAATTTTATTTACAAAAAAAGGATATTTTTATTTATGTAGGTATGTAAGTAATTTTCCTCATTACGAATCCTTTTATCTTATATTTAGTGCACCTTACAATATTCCTTTATACGAGTACGTCCATGAGTGTGAGTGAATGAACTCTTTGAACTTTTCACTTTCAATTTTTTCCAGGCTTTGTTGTTTACAACGTCACATATAAAGGATCTTTATCGGACATACAATGTTTGATCGAGTTGTTTGATAAGAGTGGCTCACAAGTATCGGCATCGCACGATTGCGCTGGCCTCTTAGAAATCGGCAACGCTCAATTTTGGTGGCCATACCTAATGCACACAGATCCTGGTTATTTATATACTTTACAGGTGATATTAACATATATAATAATTATATACATATTAAAAGAGTCGAAGTTTGACAGTGAATATTATTAATAAAATTGTTTGGAATGTAATACGAGCCAGACATTTATTCTTTGTTTTCACTTGCGCGCAATAGCATGAGAACGGCTGGGTAAATAGGATTTTCTAATGCTTATTTAGGTTTTTCTTTAATGTATTAATATTAATCTTAATTATAAAACATAACAATGCTCATTTTAAATGGTCTATCTCTATAGATATGATTCTATCTTTATAGAGAGATTGAACTATTTCAAGCTTGGTGTTACTCGCAGTCCTGTGTGAAGCTGGGATCATTTTATGAGGCACTAATTAATAGTATTTGTCCCGCGAAAGCTTTACGCGGGACCTTAGTCTATTTACATATTATATATATAAAATCGAAATACCGCTCACTGATTAAGCACGATTTCTCTGAATGTAGGTACATATGAATGCTACAACTACTACAACTTAAAATTTTGCAGATTCATCTTCTTCACAGGGAGGGTCCTATCCACTAAGAAAGAATTTTCAGAAATTTCACACCTAAATAGTAAAAAAAGTTGGGAGTTTATATAAAAAGCCGCAATTTTTTTATATTTTTAATCTTTACGGGCAGAGCCGTGGGCAAAAACTGGTTGTTTATATAGATAATAGTTGAAATAAAATAATTTGGTATATTTTGTTTATTTTAAACATAATTTTTCAGGTGTCACTTATTGGTCCGGATGGGGAGGTTTTAGATACATATGGCCAGAAAGTGGGCATAAGAACTATAACTTGGAGTAACACCACTATTTACATTAATGACAAGCCCTTGTATCTCCGAGGATTTGGCATGCATGAAGACTCTGATGTAAGAATATTAAACTTATTAACATAAAAATATAAAAAGGAAGATGTTAGGTTTTGTCGTAAATTAATAAAATTTCGTGTGCTAAATAGACATTTGATAAAAATTGAAAAAGTTCTGATCTGATATTTGTGAGAAAAAATAAGGCTTATCTTTAGTTTTTATGTTATTTTGCATTGATCAAATACCTATAATTCTTTATTAATATATGTATGGGAAAACGAAATAAAGTCATTTTTTTATTATTCATAAATAATATTCAAAACAAAATGTCCATTGTATAATAATAAATTTTTGATATTTAATAATTTGCCTGGTACATGAGCGAGATTTCCACTTACACAAGTCTATACTCTAGACCCTTAGGAGCCTTTGCAACTATTTGTCACGCATATAATGTAATACGTAAGTCAATAATTTTTTTTTAAAGCATTAGGCAAGTCGTAACAGTGACAAAACGCTCGCTTGGGAAACAAAGTGAAATGTGTTCAGACCATGGGTCTCGTACCTCTGAATTTTCATATGATATTCAAAATGAGTGATCATCACCATTATCATCAACTTTTCTTATGGTGAAGGAAAATATTATGAGCAAACCTGCATGTCTTATAAAATTAAGATTTTTTTTGAAAAACCTCAGAAGTCCGCTCGCCTGCATTTGGACAGCATGATGGACTATGGCCTGATCCCCTCATATTGAGAGGAGGCCCGTGCCCATAAGCTGGACGTTAAAACATTTTGTAAATTTTTTCTTTTGTTGTTTTAGCTACGTGGGAAAGGTTGGGACCCAGTTTTGTGGGTAAAAAACTTCAATCTTATCAAATGGGTAGGTGCCAATGCGTTCCGTACCTCCCACTATCCGTACGCTGAAGAGATCTATCAATTAGCTGACGAACATGGCATTATGATTATAGACGAATGTCCTGGAGTCGACACTGAGTAAGTTATCTTAATGGATATAAGCGCTTGAACAATTTGTATACGTTGCTGCAGTGCACATTTTTTCCTTGGAGGGGAGGATTTCATAGGTAATTATTTTATAAAAAAAATTAAAGAGAATTTGAAGAAATATTATGATAGTAGTTATAACAGAACAAAACCTCAGCTTATTTGATCGTTATCAGTATCGTCGTATACATTGACTGGCAATGGTAGTTAAAGCTTCATTTATATTCTTTCTAACATTACATTTACAAACTGTAAAGAACCTTTATTGCTATAAAATTTTCCTATCAGTAGATACATAGGTGCTAAAAATTTGCATACTTATCATTTAAAATTAATTCTAGTCCATTTAGCTATACACTTTAACGTTTTGTGTCATCGTGTTGAATATTTTTCTCATTAAAAGAGACAGAGCATTAAACTATCGCCTGAGCCTCTTTAAAACTATATAACATTGGAAAGCTATTCATTGTCTATACAAAAATTGCTAATTTAAATATTTCGGTTTATAGCATTTTCACAGATGCCCTTTTAGAAAAACACAAGCAATCACTTACTGAGCTGATTCGGCGTGATAAGAATCACCCGAGCGTCATCATGTGGTCCATCTCCAATGAGCCAAGGTCCAACAACCTCAAGGCTGACGCTTATTTCCAGTAAGTATTTAACATAATATGGTCCATAATTTAGATCTTTTACTGGTGCAAAAATTCAATCGCTTTGATCGATTTTGTCCTGCGCCACAAATTTAATGGCAGCCCAAAGAACAGTACTTAAAAGTATAGGAGAAACCTGATCAAGACTAAGCATGATGTCATATCATTGGTAATTAGTTATAATTAATTTATTAATTTCACTCATTCATCCATCATTTTTACATGCTTCCTTAAAAATGATTATATTTATCTTATGACATGTAAAAAGTAACGGACTTCATTCCTGCACACGATGAACATTTGTAATAACCGTATGTTTATTCCGGTCTGGTTGAGCCCGAGTGTGGCGGCGGTTTTTCGATGTCAAAAAGCGTCTCTATAGGTATATTTCCTATTACCATATAAACTTTTTTTTACTCTCTGTGTTAAGCCAGTACTAATAAAAAGATTCTACGATACTCAGACCAATAAAAAAGTATAGACAGAAAATTGCGCACAAAAAGTGAGGCAAGTAATATGAAGACGATGGAGCCATATGAAGACGCCCGCGAGCGAGTGAGAGCGAGTGACGTGCTTTTTGTAAAATAATAATTGCGAAATTAAGCTGTCCTGTGTCATAAACTGTTGCAAAAACAATTCATGTTTTCGAAAAAAGTCTTCTGGTATAACTTTTCACAAGTAAGTGATTTTCTGTATAATTTAAACAAAATCACAAAAATATTTAACATAATTCTCCGAACACGAATTCTAGACGCCATTGTGTCAATGTTGCAAGATAAGAACATTATGTTTTCCCAAAAGTAAGGGAAGTTGTGATTTTTGTACACGTTACAACTTATTTTTTTTAAATCTTATTATTGTATTTTAGTTTTCGAGTATATTAGGTATATTATTAAGCGTCAAAGCCGTGACTTCGAACTAGAATCAATATTTGACACTCGCAAAAGAAACAAACTCAGACACCAAGCTAGAAAGCATAAATTACGTTATCAAATTCATGCACGCAAAATCAAAACACTTAATCAGAAGGTTAAAGGCCTTAAAAAGAAAAACGCGTCAAATTAGTTATAATTATTCTAATATATGTAAGTTTTGTGTGTACCTATTGTTAAATTATTAATTATTTTTATATAAGAATAAATGACTCATTAAACTAATTAACCTTTCATTTCATGTAACCAAGGCAAATAAAAAACAATACTACCGATAATAAAACTTTTCACCAAAGTATATCTCTCGCACTTGGGAGTCGTAAGCACAACGCTTGCAACATTTTTCTCTAGCACACATGCGCAAATCTACGCTATCTTACACCGAGTTACGCACACAAAGCCAAAACTTTGCCTCACTTATTTCGTCGCGTTTGTTTACAACTGCTCCGTCTATACTTTTTTATTGGTCTGAGCTACGATATGAACTTTTTCCATTCTGAATTTTACCCTAATCTGTTGAGCTGTTTAAGTTTCAAGAAGTAATTAAATATACAATTAAAATGTGATTTTAGCCAGGCCCAACCTGGCAGCTGGGAAGGAAAACTATTAGGTATATTGAAATATATGTAGCGTTTTCCACTCACTTTTTTATATAATTTACTTTAGGAAAACAAAAACAAACCTATCCCACGTACGTTTTTCCGGCGTAAAAAGTAGCCTATGTATTATTCCAGATTATAATCTATCTCTATGCCAAATTTCATCCAGGTCCGTTCAGCCGTTTTGGAGTGAAAGAGTAACAAACGTCCATACTCACAAACTTTCACATTTATAATATTTATATATACACTATACAGATATACGGATTTATTGCATAAACTCTTAATTAGAAACTACGTAATCTAAGAGGATAACTTTTATTAATATTAGCCTGAATAATGAGTGGAAAACGACGGCATATATTTTCTCTGCCTAGTGCGTGAGAATTAAAGAAAATGTGCCGCTTTAAAAATGTCGGCGCAAAACTAATAATTGCCTAAAATAAATTGGTATTTGCAGAATAAATAAAAATATAAGTGCGCAGTATAATTAATTTATCAGCATACTTAATGCTTATTTTATACATGTTACACTTATCTAAAAAAATTAACAAAACAAGTCTTTATCAACATTCAACAACTGTATATATTATGTACTGCGAGTAATTCGTTCACTGCCTCAGTGGTCGAGTGGCTAGCATTTACGGCTGCAAATCTGGAGGCTCTGGGTTCGAGTCCCGGGTTAGGCCAAGTATAGTTATGTAGTTCTTTTATCAGTAAACTCTCAATAATAGTCAGAAGTACGAAAGTTTGCGCTGTTTCAACCCCAAGCCTTGCAGATCCCTCACCGCGCTTGTCAAATGCCAAATTGTTGTCCAACCGGAGTATGCAATTGGCGGCAATAGAGAGTAGTACACTTGTGTTTGCGTAAGATTGGCGCCTTGGTCGAAAACAGTCTTTGATATTTTAAACTGTTACTTTCATTTGTAAACGAAATAAAACTTTATTTATCTTTTAAATGTAATTTAAAAAAAAGGGTTTCTATAAAAAAAACTTTCTCATTTTTTTAATAACAACTCTTAAAATATTTTAGGATCTGGATTTTTCTAATTACCTATCTGCTGATGTGTGTATTGTGTATCCTTAAAACAAACATTTTATTCCAGGAAAGTGGCAAAGCACGTGAAATCCATGGACTTGTCCAGACCAGTGACGATTGCCATTTCTCAAGTGTATTTCATAGATAGAGCGGTAATTTTTTTTTATTACAATGGTAATAATGGTGGTTTTAAATAATCAGAAAGGTAGCATACTATTTTTACTTAAGAATTCTATACTGAATAAATTTTATACTAAGCAGCTTGATTAATATTTAAATTTTAACAATCAGGAACGTAACGTCAGCTAAGGAGATAAATATTCTGCTTTAGCTGAAGGCCGAAACAACTTTTTAACATATACCATACTAATATATGTACATAAAATCATATGTTCTACAAATGTTACAATACTATACAAATTTGTACTACTTTTTTTTTTTTAACGTTGGGAAATGCATTTACGCACGAGGTGTGGGACTCACCGGCAAAACCAGTACTACCCACTAAAACCCAACAAAACCTTCCCCCGTCTTAATGGGGCGTCGCAGGATCGCTTACGCATTCAACTACGACGCCCCGACGGCAGGTCTGCCGAAGCAGACCACAACAACCACGGGGTTGCTCCACAGTCCACTCTGCTATCAGAGAAGTACCAGGAGCAACCCGCATGGTACACTGCCCTCCGAAGAGGGCCACCTCCTACCGCCCACCGAAGTGGGCCTCCTCCCTGTGTGTTTCTTGGCTTCGCGCCCGGTTGGGTTGCCGGGCACTACTGAGCCCCCCCACCACGACAAGGTGAACGCACGTTGGGGGGGACAAATTTGTACTACTACTTGTAGCATAAATTTTCCGGATTCGAAACATAAGTTGTCAAATTTTCGAGATATTTTGAGACATGAATCCATATGAAGAATATGTTCGAATATCTCGGAAACGTAACACTTAAGAGCACAATATTCCAAATATTTTTTTTTTGTTCAAATTAATTCTATCTATATATACATTAGTTTCATTGGACAAAGTTTATAAAAAAAAATGGCGAAAAGTTAGTAATGCCACAAACGCTCTATCCCCTTTTATACTCTTAGATTTATAGAAATAAAATAGTTTCTAATATACAATTTGTTTTATCGTTTACTTAATTCAATTAAACATTCAATCAGGGCCAACACTTAGACGTGATATGCTTCAACCGCTACAACGGTTGGTACGCGAACACTGGCTCGCTGGCGAACATCGCCACGTACGTGGAGGAAGAGGCCATCGCGTGGCACAGGAAGCACAACAAGCCGGTCATCATGACCGAGTATGGTGCTGACACTATCTCCGGGCTTCATCTGGTAAGTCTCTATACTATTTCTATATATATAATATATATGTATGTATGTTGAGGCAGTGGTAGCCCAGTGGTAACGCGCTCGCTTAGGAAAGCGAGTGAAGCGAGTTCAAATCTCGGGTCTCCCACCTCTGATATTTTCACGTGCGAATCATTTTTAACATGATTACCACTTGCCTTACGGTAAAGGTAAACATCGTGAGGAAACCTGCATGTCTGAAAGAACCTAACAAGTTTTCGAAAGACATTTGAAGTCCGCCAACCCGCACTTGGCCAGCGTGGTGGACTATGGCCTGATCGTCTTCGTATTGGGACGCCCGTGCCCAATAGTGGGATGTTAAAAAGGGCTGAATACGTATGTATGTAATGACAACGATTTTTCCTTTGTCACTCAATCACTTAAAAACGACTTAACTTAACGGTATGGGTTTCGCAGGATCGTCTGTTAGATAGTTTTAGGTTTTAGTTTTTGGATACCATACACTTTTTATCATATTTTTTGGATTTTTCTATAGAAAAAAACCTCGGTTTTCAGTTATAAAGTTGAAAGGTCTACATACATACATCTTCGTGTCACGGAGCCTATGTCTTACTCCTGAATTCTATCTGGTATCGTTAGAGTGCTGTCCCATTGAGCTATCTTTATCTGTAATGCAGAATTTATTTACATAAATTTAAATTCATGCTCGTTAATTATTTTAAATGTCGTGCTTTAGGTTACAGGAAAATATTCAAATACATAATTATGTATTAACGCTAAAATTTCCTATGTATAATAGAAAATAAATAATAGAAATAATATTGTGTCCCCACGCAAGCCTTCCAAAGGACCGGGCTCTTTCCAGCTCGTGAAATTCGAAGAGATTCAAAGCAATAATATTAATTTAAACTTTATATTTCAGATTCCAGAATACGTGTGGTCAGAGGAGTACCAAGTGGCATTAATGTCAGAACATTTCAAGGCGTTCGACCGCTTGCGCCAACGCGGTTTCTTTTCTGGGGAGTTCATTTGGAACTTTGCTGATTTCAAGACTGCACAAAGTAAGCAATCCATATATATGATTATCTTGGGGATATCTTTTAACATTGAAAATGTCTTTTTGTCGCTTCAATATAGGCCCGATTTTCAGCGAAAGTGCGACATCGCTGTGGTGTCGTGGATTTTGGGACTACGTGGTTGAATGGGATGTTAAAAGATGCGTCTGAATGAGGGCTACAAAATGCAAAAAGAAATTGAAAACACTCAAAGGCTTTTTTTAAATCGAAAAAATGTGTAAAATATGGTCGCTTTTCGCTCGGTTTCGATCAGAAAAAAAATCATATTATCTCGAAATGAAATAAGATATCGAAAAAATAAAAAAACCGCCCTAGAGATATGACTTCGGACTACATTTAAAAAAATATTTCTAACAAGTAGAACAAAAACAAATCTATCCGTACATTTTTCCGGGATAAAAAGTAGCCTATTTGTTATTTTGACGTAAGAACTAATACAGTTTCATAAAAAAATAAAATCCAAACAGTAGTTTTTGTGTACTAAGCTGTATAAATTACAATAGATTTTTAACTATCCCGCGGGAACGCTTTAATTTTCCGAGATGTAAAGTATCTAAAATGTTGACCGGGGATATAAAGTACCACCATGCAAAATTTCATTTAAATCGGTCCAACAGTTTCGGAGATTAGCCCGTACAAACAGACAGAGAAACAAAAAAAGGAAAAAAACTGGATTTGTTCTACTATTACTCTTCTTACATCCCCCTGACTCGGTTTTTAGTATATTTTTTCTATGTACAGGCATTCGACCTCTACAGTTTTATTATTTGTATAAATAATATCTTTATGTGTCCAAATACTTTTTTGTAGTCTGAACGCGGGCAAAATCGGTTGTTCTGCTAGTAATTAATATATTAAAAATTTAATTCATTTCATTTGGCAGATTCTTTTTCAATTTACTCTAAGGTCGTGGCAGACACGAGATCTGTGGATTTTTTTTAAAAGAATTTTTTAAGTACCACAAATTTTTAATTTGTTCTATGCTAGATCACGAAATACGTAAAAGATATAAAAAAGCACATTCTGCTCTATAAATACGAAAGTACAAGTACATCGCCGATCCCTCCAGTAAGGTTGCCGTATGCAACTGGGTGCATCTAAGCGTGCTACTCACATCACATGTGTATATATCCCTATAGAGAAAAAGCTTCATCACCACGCAAAGATACGGTGCACTACTATATCAGGCGGTGTTAATTATTTAAAGGATTTTTTATAGCACATTAAGACTGATTCAGTTGGTTATGTATTTAACAAATGTGTTGCGCTTATCAAGAAAGTTGGGCAGAGTGCATTATGCTACAATGAATTCCAACAATGTTGCCGTAGTTGCCTGCAGTGACGCCGACGGTTATAGATAACTCAAACATCACGTTCCGTGTCAGTATAGAAGAGTTGTATGACGGAAATCTCTTTCATCCTGCATTAGTTACCTTGTATGTGAAGATAATGTGAGGTGCTCAACATTGTGCGAGCAGAATCGTTTATACCTATATTATGTACCTACTAAAGATTTCCTTCCGCCAATTTGCTGAACCAATTTCCATCGATAAAGTAACTCTTTAGTTTGCGTATTGTTGTGTGTAGTACAAAATTATAGTTCTAAAAATAGCAGACGAGAAAGCAATTAGAACTTCGATTTTGTCTTTTCAGATTATCAGTATGGATGAATCTGTTTGTATCATCTGCAATAAGGCAGATGATAAGCAAGTGTATGAAATAAAAAAGGTTTTTTGTTTTTTGCATTTTCTCAGAAGATTTACTATAGTAACATATCTTTTTTTCACTATCGGAAAGTAGAGATTTCAACGAACAGAAAACATACCAACTTTTTGAAAAAAGCTGTTATTTTGACGGGTGAATTTTCATTATTAAATAAAACTATCTTTTCGGATTATTTCGCGGATTTATTTTGATTTTTGGTTACCGACGTTTCGAATGCTTTACAGCATCCATGGTCACGGGAGAGACTGACGTGTTACATGTCTTAAAGGTATAGTTGTTACAGACAGCCTACCCACAACTACCAAAATGAAAATTGCACCAATTACATTACAATATTTTTTAACTTTAAACATTTTTATAATTTTAATTATAATTGAATATGGAAAATTATTTATTTAATTTTTGCTATTATTTTTATAATTATTACAATTTTAAAAATATTAATTAGTAACCTATATTTAGTGTTGCCATTATTATATTTATAACCATAAAGAAAAATATAAAATATAGTATTAATTATTAAAGCCATATAATTGTTCTATGTGTAATTTAAAAAAGTTAAAATTAATTAAGGATAATAATTTTAATTTAGTTTGCTATTATTTAAAAACAACTTACTAAGCAACACTATTAATATATACTTTTACAAATGAAAAATTTGTAATTGTGAATTTTCGATTGAAAATTAGGGTGCTTTTTCGATATTAATTCAAAATAAGGTGAAAAAATAAATATTTTTGATCAAATAAATTACAGCGTATTTGGGACATAAAAAGGTAAGTTTTCACCAAATTTCGTTAAAACAATTTTTTTTTTGTAAAAGATAAAAATAAAAAACCCAAAAACTTGGTTTTTTGAATTTTTCACATAAATTTTGAGGTTATGTGAAAAAAGTGTAAATACAAAAGTTTTGGATCTTTTTATTACCTACAACTTTACCATTTAACTTTTTTCTGTAGGACTTTTAGTTCTGCCGGAAATCGAGAAAAACCGTTTTTTACCCTTAAAAACTCACCCCCATCCCCTTCCCGACCTCAGGTCGCCCGTAAATTATTTTTCCTTTCATTTTTATAATATTCCCCTCCTTTTCTAACGGGTTGCATCCTACTATTATTATTTTTTCACTTTTTATTATTTTTAAAGGCTTCTACCCTGGTCTATTATGTTTTTTATCTACCTAAATTACACAAAATAAAAATAACATCGTAAAAAATCACAGTAGCAAAATAGTTTTTAGTTCGAAAAAGCAACAGCTGTTTTTTTTTAATTACAGAATTAGTAAACATCGTGCTTTCATTTATTAATTATTCTTAAACAATATAATCAGACTTAACAATAGAGACATACCGAACAATGCAATTTTACTAATAATCTACTCTATATAAATGTTTATCCTCATAGAGTATTATAAATTATTAACAGTTTTTGGAAAATATTTGTAATGTTAATTAAACTTTGTAAAGAACACTATGTTTATGTTTTGTCTATTTTTTCGATCTCTTCATTGTTTTCGTAGGGGTTTTTTTTCAGTCTCCGTACTTTTTTCATTCCTTATTCCGCGCAGCATTTTTGAGTTTAGCTTCTTCAAACTTTTCTGGGTTGTTTAATCGCATTCTCTCCCTGTATCGCTTTTGTTTTTCCGCCGGTGTTAAGGGCATTTAATAAAATTATTAAATGTTTTGTAATACGTCAGGGCCATTTTATATATATATATATATATATATAACAAGATAGATTGGATTCATATTATTTAGAACTGCATCAATTTCGAGAATGTACTAGATACCCTGCGCGGATACGTACTTGCGAAAAAAATAAGCTGAAATTTAAGTTCTGTAGTGTACACTAACTTTAAGAACTGATCACGAATGTTACGTAACACATTAAGTAACACGCGATATCATTCGTGAATCAAAAATACTGTGTACTTAATCTAAAAAACATGTATTCGGTTTTATTTTGGAGTAAGAACATGACGAATAGGTTTATTTGTTAACTGAATGATCTATCTACACACTGAGATTAAAATAATATTGTAAATTTACATTCTTACCGTGCGTTTTCTTACATAAAAACATTAAAAGTGCCGGCCACTTTAATTTTCATTTTCACAGAAAACAAAATGGCGATTTTTGTCTACAGGGTCGCCAACTTGTAAATGGGATTGTTATATAAGTAAAATATGTTTAAAGACTTGGAATCTAGGCTGATTGCATTGTGATTTATAGTAACTTGCGTGAAGTATCATTTGGGAACAAAAAGCGAGACACATACTTTAAAATTTATTTTACAATAAGTTTTTACGTAGCTTGTTATTAAAAATCACTACAGCTTATAAAACTAACTAAACAATTTAGCAATGCTAAAAATTAACACTTCATTAGGCTTTTTAGCATATTTTTTTGATTTCAAATTATAAGATGTTGTAGTGGGACACGAGATTTTTGTATGGATGCCAAGATTTACCTTCCTACCCTCTTAGAAAAAAAATAAAAAACAGCTGTTAAAGAAAACCGAAATTAATTAATTTTTTCCATAAGTATAAACGTGAAAATGTGTACCTGAAACTATTTACAACATAACATTAAATGAAGTAGTATATGAAAATATTTTATTTTGTTTGAGAGAGACACTGATTTTTTTCCATATGTACAATTTTTGGCGGCCATACTCACATAGTATGTGAATACTATGAAACACTACCTTGCGTAACCATCATAATATATTGACAAATTAAAATAACATAAATATTTAAAGAATCAACAAAGTCCAGTTTTTAACATATTTAAATCAACATTTGTTTTCCAACAAAGAAAATTTATTTTTTGTACACGTATAAACTTACTACGTAAAAATGAACGGAATAATTCGGCTGAATGTTCGGTTCGGTACATTTTGGACCGAATATTCCTATCCATCCCTATTCTAAACAAAACAGTTATTATTTCCATCTCAGAACATATTAAAATACTTAAATCAATAGATAACTAAATTTAATAAGACTAAACCAACAAAAAATATAATATAAAAAAAACTTATTTCAGCAATAACCCGAGTGGGAGGCAATAAGAAGGGTATCTTCACACGGTCCAGACAGCCCAAAGCTTCAGCGCACCACCTGCGCGCGCGCTACTTAGCGCTCGCCGCCGCTGACACTGGCGCCCCCGCGCCTGCCATCCAGTACTACATCAGTGACAACAAACCCGCTCTACATGAAGAACTTTAGTATAAAAAGTAGCTTAAATATATCACAGTACTAATCCATACTAATCTAATGAAGGAGTCTAGATAGGCCAAACGTTACGGGGCGTGAAGCGCACCCGACTCTCACACGTACTTTTATATGACAGTCGGGAAACGGCTTTACGTTTGTTGGGTTTGTTGGTTTACTTCAACGCTTTAACATCGGAAACGTTAATCATGCAAAATATTTTTGACGACTCTTGCAATTAATAGTATTTCCGTCAAAATTAAAGGCGATGCCTACTGTATGGATTTTTATACTGTGATTATATTTTTCATTATTAATCCTTTCTGCAATCACGGAAACTGTTTCATTCGTTGCATACTACGTCAGTGCCAAATCCACTTCGCAAGCAAATCCACTGCCAATTAATCAGAATATTCGAAATTTAATGTTATGGTGACAACCTAAGACATCAATAATAACAAGCTTTCTCTTCTCTTATTTTTATCGAATCATCTCTCCTGGCTGCAATTGTACTTCTTTCGCGCTCAATCTTGGTATGTTCAACTTGAGTAACACTAATGCTCTTTATGCTTTCGTGGGTTTAAAAAACTAAAGAATTACTAGACAATGTCACAACAGTGACAGTGACAGTGACAAATTTACAGTTAAAGCCCTAAAATGAGAGTTTTAGGACTTCACCTGTCAATTACTACGGAATTCAAATACCTAACAATAAATTAAATTCATTACATTATTTTAATTTCCTATTCTTTCAATAATTTTATTTGAACACAGAAACATATCCTTCTCTCTTCTTCGTCGTATTGATCTGGAAAAATGTAGTTTTTAGCGGTTTTTAATTTTAATCCGTCCAATTTTGATATCCCTTAAGGAAAATGACGTAACTATACATCCGTGGCTTGCTGTATTGCTCAAAATATGGAGATCTACTGAAAGTATATTTATTATTAAAAAACTATAACATAAAAAAGTAAACTTCTTTCAAACATGATACCTATGTTGATAATTAATTTTAAATACATGCCTACTACATAGATCAATAAGCATGTCCCTTACTTAGAAAATACTAATAAAGAACTGCCCCCCAAGAAGAACTTATAAAATAATTCCTGAATATCGTAAACACGCTTACGATTGCTGTTTTCTTAGAATAATTATAGATCTTAATATTTTGCTATATTTGAATATTGTAATCAATGAAACGTGTATGTTTGTAAATATTTATTGTGTGTAATTAAAGTACAAATAAAATTATCTGTTTTCCTTATTTCATGTTTTATATTTTTAATGATTTTAAAATATTACGATTAATGATTATGAGGTTGACGTCAGCACTAGATAAATGATATTGTACGTTGAAATTTGCTAAGATTTTTTATTCTGCTGCCTTGTTCTGTAAAATGGATTCAACACATAGATCGCCATCTATTGATATTTATTTGAACTATTTTTACTTTATTCCTGATGAGATTTGAAAGTATTGATTGGATTAAGTAGGTAGTTAGTTTCATCTAGTTTATGAGACACACGTTTCTATAGCAATCGTAATTGGAAATAATCTCTATTTGTAGTATAATCGCTTCTTAAAATATTATACAATATACCTACTTGAGAGGAGTTGTTGTAATGAAGTTCCTTTTGCTATATTATGTTATGTATTAGATAACAGGCTGCAGACACATTGAAATAAATTAAAGTAGGAGAGTAACTAAATGAAAAATAAAAATTCATGATTATTCATGAATTTTTCTTTTTTGTTTCTTAACATTTATATGTGTAATAAAGATGTAATTATTCTTATAAAAAATATTCAATCATTCCAATTTAGTAATGATTGGTTTCTTGGAGGAGGAATGCTCATTATCCATAATATATGTATGTAGGGCCGTGTCATAAGGGTTCATACGAACTACATACTTACTACATACATTCCTTTAACACTTATGATCGCCTTGTACGTGCAATGACGTCACATAGGGTACTCTTAGTAAATAGTAACCCCTACTTTTTGAAAGTCGGGTAAAAAGTGTCGTGACGGTAAGAATATTACACTTTTTTCAATCTAGCCCTCATTTAGTAAGTATGGCGCGCGACAAGGAACTTCATACTAATAAATATTATAATATAAAAATTGAACCATAATCGGTCAAATTATTGTAAGTATGCAAAAGTAGGACACAGTCCAGAAACAATAAATAAGTTTTACTTCTATGAATGTCTTTCCTTTCTGAGAAATTATTTTACTACTAGTACATACCATTCAACATTTCTGCACTCTTTGAAGCCATAGATGAATATTGAAGCGACCATAAATAATATTGTATTATCTATTAAATTGTTGTCATCATAATTTTTGACAGATGACAGTGATTAATCACCAAGTTTTTTTTTCAAAACAAGAAATTCGTTCTCAATGTGTCATTTTTGTATTACGTAATTATTTTTCTATTGTTATAGGTTACTCTTGTGGACCGATCATTAATTTATATTTTTAATTCCACAATAAAGTTACCACATTTCAAAATTACCGCTCAATCTCATTCGTATTCGTCTTCCTCACAAAACGTGACACTGGCAGAATGGATTGCGTCTGTTAACGCAACTATAAGCCATTATAAAAAAAAAAGAGAACGTGTTTATAAAACATTGTTATTTTTTATAATATTGTAATAATAAATGCCATTTTTTTAAATATAAGCACATTTACTTAAAAATGAGTTTATAATTAAGAAAAGTTCCTGCAACGAAAACAATATAATACAAGTATTAATTACGAATCCTCAAAAGAATTTAATAATCTAAAATGGATTGTATCCAATGTGGTGAAGAAGCCAAATACAAATGTCCTACTTGTAGAGAGCCATAGTAAGTGTCTATAGTTTTTTATATACAAATATATGCACATAAATAATATTTTTTTAAATAAAAAAAATAGTTGTTCAGTTCCATGCTGTAAGTTGCACAAAGAAACACCTTGTTCAGCACCATCGCCAGAAACACAAGATACAACAGAAAAATTCACTACAGAATATGAATATCCTACAGAAGACACAGTACCTCCTGAAAAGTTAAAATTACTAGGTAAATATAAATATTATACATACCAAGGTAATATAATAGAAACCAACCAATAATAGGTCTATTATTTGGGTGAACACTGAACCTTAATATAAATATCCAACCTATTTAGATCTATTTTTAATATATTTTTTTCACTATAACATTAATTATTTATATATTATACTGTTTGCAAGTTATTATCCAACAAATATTTGTCTAATTTCCTATACTTAAGAATTATATATAAGTTAATTTTTAATATGCTAAATAGTTTAGGTGAAATGTAATCTGTTCTTTTTCCTTTTTAGAACAATCTAAGGAATTAAGAAAGTGCTTAGAAAATCCAAGCCTAAGAGAAATATTAGAAACATTGGACTCTGCACCATATCCTGATTTATTAATGAGTGAATATATGTTAGAACCAATATTTACCGAATTTGTTGATGCCTGCTTAAAAACTGTTGATGAAAAAAATGTCTAGCATAATATGAATGATGTGGAAGCAAGTTATTATTAGTAATTGAATATATTTATGAAATCGCTACTTTATTTTATGTCATTATTGATGAATCAAGACATATCTATTCTCAGCAAATACATATAATTACTAAAATAATTTTGAATCTTCATAGCATGAAAACAAGATTGAGAGAATAAGCTCTGTCATACACATCTTTTATATTTAAGGTTTAATTGTATAGGTGATAAGAACATGTTTGAAAAATCACTAAATAAAAGAAATTCACTACTTGACTTGTTATTTATTGTTGTTGGACAGAAATTGTGAAAAATAAAAAAAGAATGCAAAAATAAGTTCATTTACTGTTCCAATTCTTTAAAAAAATATCTGGCCAATTAACATGCACATAATAACTCATAATAAATAACCAATGTACTTCTAAACATTAGAAAGTGCTAATCTCAATAAATTTTCAAGTTCATCAGATTTCTTTTTCTCTTCATTTAATTTCATTTCTAGTTGCAACATAGCATCTTTACAGGAATTGTATGAAGAAATACTTTGATCTGCCATATGTATGTTCTCTTTCACCAAAGTGCTATCTTTATCTACTAACATTAAATGCTCCATTGAATCGAATTCGATCTTTCGTCGTTTTGCTTCAATTAAATAATCTAAATCATCCTCATATTCTAAAACCTTATGTTTACTTCTTGAATATACTTCGACTTCATACAACCAATCAATATTCCGATATACATCTAAAACAGATTTTTTATACACTGCAAACCTATTATCAAAGTTCTTTAAGCTGTTTATTTTCTCGTAAACAATTACATTTAATAAATCTATTAAATCATAACTCTCAAAATACTCATTAAATTCATCACATGACATATTTACATCTGATAGTTCGTTAGGGAGAAGAGCAACCACTTTACATACAACTTCTTCAGGATTTGGAAACCAACTAATTTGTTTACAATATTTTCGAATTTCTTCCTCCATTTTTCTTGTGCTATTTGGGAGAAAACCCGACACAGGGTTTGGCAATTTTAATTTTTTCATAATCAGTTTTATAGCACTCGTGTTGTCAGATTGTTTTGTGTTACTTGTTATAAATTCATATGGTTTAGGATATGGAGAAGAACTATCTAAATATTTTGTTAACTCTAAAGGAAAAGAGGCGTAATTAAACAGATCTTCATTTGTTATGACTTCCGTCAACTTATCAACAGCTTTATTGTAACAAGTAACTAATTTTTGTAAATCTTTTAGAATAACTTCTGTTCGAGGGTCTTTTTCAGATCTCAATTTGCACCATATTTCGTTGCCGAGATATCTTTGACATATCGATTTAAGATAATCAATTTCAAGAGGTGGAGGTTTTGGGTAATTCTTCGCGAGCCATTTTATCGCATTTTTGGTGCAAGCATTCAATGAATCTTCAGCATTCGAATGATCTGAGATAAAAATTTTATAATCTGATATAATTTCTCTATTTTTACACCCAGTCAAATTCGCATCAAGCTGCTTTAGATGAAAAAGATCATCACTTTTCGCCATAATAACGGCAATTGGTATAACTTGATATTTATATTTATGTTTGAGTGTCTGTTCTATAAGATTGATGTAATTAGTATCTTTTTCTGTGATATAAAATATTACACCATTGGCCCCATTTAAGGCTTCATTGGCAATGCTTAATTTTGTTTGATTAATCAAGCTTATCGATATGGCAAAATCCATTAAATTATTCCAAGAATGTTTATCGACATGTATCAGACTGTCGCTCACATCATGTGCTTTTTGATCCCCAAAAACGTCATGCAGCCAACTTTCTACATGAAGTTTCCTATGAAAGTATTTATTAGCACCTGGTGAAATCAAAGCAACCTTCCAAAAAAAACACTTGTCATAGGGATATTCAATTTGCTTCATACGTTTGAGGAGAGGCGATCGGATTAAATCTAACATGTTATATGGTTTCGGAGATGGTGCCTGCCTTAATTCTCCAGTAAATCTATAGCCTCTATGAATGGCATTCATATTGCGAAGTGCAGCTTGTTCAACGGAACGGCGTAAGTATTTCGCCTCCTCCTCAATTGTTTTGTCAGGAAGCCAAACTGGAGTGTCCTCTAAAAGATTTCTCCTCTTATTGTTCCTGATATAATGTTTCCTCCAAACACGATACCATCTTGCCATAAGTTTTTTCCTTCTAAATATTACCGCTTTAAGTTCAGAGCTGCACATTTCCATCATCAATTCAAGAGAAATTTCTTCATTAGTTTTAGTAGCATATTTTATTAAACTTTCAAGTAATTCATTTTCTTCTGCCAAAATTGTATTTACTTCTTCTTTGCTGATTTCTTCCATAAAAGCTTCTATGAGTTCAGAAGATTCATTGTTAACTCTTTGCTTAAATAATCTCTCTTCTTCAGCTTTGCGTTTCAATTCTAACTTTCTTTCCTCTTCTAGTTTTTTTCTTAACTCCTCTTGTTTCTTTTCTTCTTCTCTTTTTCGTTTTTCCTCTAATTGTTTCAATTCTTCAAGTTTTCTCATTTCCTCCTGTTTACGTTTCGCTTCCTCTATTCTTTGCATTTCGCGCCTCTCTCTCTCCTCCTCCTTTTTAATTTCCTCTTGTCTCTTCCTTTCTTCTAAAATATCCTGCTCGTTAACGCGAGGCAATTCGACTGTTGTAACGCCATCATTAGAATCAAAGTCGTAAATATTTTCTTTAGGGTGATTAACCGATTGAAATATATTATCGGCAACAGATGGTGCCTTATTTTTGCTCTGGAATATACTATACTTTGTAGCTTCAGACTGTGGCAGATTTGCTGTTTTAAATAAACTTCCTGGTGATGTTTTTTCAGAATCACCGTTAGGGCGAGATTCATAAGTGGGTAAATTACTATCTGATTTAGTACTAAACAGGTTATCTGAGCCAGTGTGAGGTTTAGCAAATAATCCAAATGGATTCGTTGACGGCGTTTGATTTTGTAATGATTTCCCAAAAATATTTGCACTCCTGTCTGAATTATCCTGATTATTTTTAAATAAGTTGCTACTTGCTTGTGTGAACAGATTTTTACTACTAGCGCCATCATTTTTATTATTGGCAAATATATTTGTGCTGGCACTCGCAAAGACATTCTTTTGGTTATCTTCCTGCCGATTTTCCACCTGCTGACTAAATATGGAATTTCCAACAGAGGATTTTTTTAATATGTCATTACTTTCATTTACTTTAAATAAATTACTCGTTGATTTAGAATTTGCATTGGTCTCATTTACTTTTCCAAAATTATTTTGCTTATCAACAGAGTCTTGCGCGATAGAGAATGTAGTCGTCGAAAACAAATTGCCCTTAAGATTAGATCCAAACACATTAGCTTCAGTTTTATGTGGATTAGAAAATGTAAATATATTTTTGCTGCTTTCCTCCAAAATCTTTTCTGGTGAATTGTGAATGACTTCAGCGGGTGCAACTGGTATGGCGGGTTGGAATTGAAAGAATTTAGTTTGATTATCAGTCATTGGCCTGGAAAAGAAATTTGTTCCAGAAACTTTTCTCTGAACGTCAGGTTTCGTGAATATTGATTTCTTTGGTTCTGGGGACCTTTCAACTATTATTCCAAAACTTTTTCCTTGCATAAGTTTTTGTAGCTCCAATTTTAATGCTCTGATATCCTTGTTACTATCGTTTTTTGTATCATATCCGATATCTTCAGCTATTAAAGCAGTTTCCTTTAATCTACCATCATTGTTAAAGCTAGTATACAGTGGATATTTGGAATAATCGCATTTAGGAAGTGGCCCTCCCGAAATGACTTCACCAACAGTGCTCTGCCGTTTGGATTCTATCAAATTAATTGCTCTAGAAAGTGGATAAGGATCGCTGTCTTCTATAAAGTGATTCCTGTTGAGAATAATTGTAAGTTCCTCTTCATTTTTCGCAAAACGTAGTCCATAATGATTAACAAATGATTTCATACTATCAACGGATTCAAATGAAAGGATGTTAAGTAAATCTTCTGCGGGATATTTGGATCCTCCTCTTGGTGCGTAAGCTTTGACAATCCTTGCAAGAGCCCGAGCTCTGACATCATTGAAATATCTTAACAGAATACAGGCTTGCAAATATGTAGCTCTTTCTCGGATGAGTCGAAAGAATTTAACATAGTTGTTGCTATCTAACGTGATATATATTTGAATGGCGAAGATAATAGATTCAGATTTTTGAATATTCTTCGGCAATTGTTTTATCTGAAAAAAAAAGTTAAAGATGTAACTAGGTATTTCTATGGGAATATTTAGTCTATCGTTAGCACTATAGTGGCACGCAACGTAGAAGGGAAAGCGAAAGCTCAAGTTCACACCTGATTGATACTCCAGACAAGTTCTATTACTTTCAAATATTTTAGTTATGCTAATTATATGTAATAAATTTTATAATTTATCTGACCATAAACTGTGTTGTTGATCTATCTCTGAACTTATATGTACACTAGCGACTCACCCTCGCTTCACTCGGGTTCATCCCTAGTTACGTCTTAATGGTTAGTATGGAATAGATAGACTACATAATATATGATATATAGCCTATAGCCTTCCTCAATAACGGGTTATCTAATGCAAAAAGATTTTTTCAAATCGGATTAGTTCTTGAGACTAGCGCGTTTAAACAAACAAACACAAACTCTGCCTATTTATAATATTAGTATACATTAAGTTATGCCTAGAGGGTTGAAACATTAAAGAAATATTCCTTGTATGACACTAGTCTTGAGTTTGTCAACAAATTACTTTGCATACCTGGATATGAATCATGAATGTTAAGGAAAACTTACCTCCCACCAAAAATTCGCATCGCCAAGATTAAGCAAAGCTATGTATCCTCTGAATTCTGCTTCATTAGGCTTAAATTCAGGGCTGACGTCTGCGTACATATGTTTTAGGGTTTGTAAGCATTTTGTGAGGTTATCGGTGTTTAGTTTCTGATCAAACTGTGTATTTTCAAGGTCAGCCAGACGAGCAGAGCTGTGTGCGTGGAAACGGGCACATATTTCCACCATTCGAATTGACTCTGTATACAATAAAATGTGTAACAAAACATATTTATTAACCCACCTTCGAGTTTAAAGATATGTAAGGAAGTTTTGATTCTATATAAATGAACCATTAGGAATGCTATATCAATAGTATATGTTTAACGTTTAGTACAGATTTCTCAGAGATGAGATATTTTCTCGCAGTAAAAAGTATCCTATATGTTGACCCGGATAACCAGCTATCATCATACCAAATTTCATCAAAATCTCGCCAGTGATTTTTCCGTGATGTAGTCACAGACAGACAGAAAAAAAAATCTAAAAACCATAGATTCGGCCTCTGTTTTGATAATAATGTCTATTTCAATAAGATTTTCCAAAAAATATTTAATGTACAGAATCAGCTTAGTTACAGTTTTATTATATGTATAGATTAATTTTACCATAGCCATGCCATATAAACAAAAAAATATATATAAGTCAAATTGATATTTTATACCTGCACAGCACAAAGCCTGTTGAGTGATGTCTTTACGAATCCCTCGGAAGCGGTCCCACATGAAATGAAACCAGTCAGCAAGAGTAACCTAACAAATAAGAAATAAAAATAATATTTAATATGATGAAATGATTGTCTTCAATTTTTTATTGAATATTAAAAAAAATATTTATAACTTGTCGGTTAGTGTCGGCAATTTCATGTAACAAATAGGCACATGTTCTCATCAACACTGGCGCAGGGCGCAGTTCATAGCACATTGGTATTTCTTGATCAGCTGAGCTGCGGCTGTACTGCTTCACTGCCCGCCAGGGTTCCAACAGACCATCTGAATCAATTATTGTTTCTAATGTCATCACCTGAAATTAAGTTATTTATTGATAACACATTAATACTATAAAAACAAAAATTTGTGAGGATAGATGTATGGTTCTATAAATGGATGTATATTTACGGGCATGTACTCTTTGACGCAAAAACTGAAACGAATTTGATTAAACTCTACAATTTGAACTATGCTGGAGAAATCCTAGTTTTTGTCATATTTTTTAATATCATTATAATGGCAATATATGCAAACAAAATTCCTCTAGTGTAATGAATCTTAATAATTATACATTATTATATACATTAATTCAACTTAAAGTATTACATGAGTTGATTATATGGATTTTGAAAAAAAAGAGAAAATAATAATTATAATCAATGTAAACACAAAAAAAATATATATTCAAATTACCTGGTGCTCTGCTTGCCTATGTAGTAACTCTTTTTCTGGACACATATCAGGACAAGTTCCTATTGTTGCACCACCAACTTTCACTCTAGAGCCGGCACCACCCCAAACTCTTAAAATTCTGAAAACATTTAAATAAAACGTAAATAGGAATTCAGATAATACTTCCCTAGATTTACTTGAATAATTAGACATTTTAAATAAAAATATTTTTTCGGATTATCATTACTATGATTGCTGTAAAGAATTTGAAACGTCCGCAACCAAAAATCAAAATAAATCCGCGAAAAAATTCGAATTCTGATATTTGTTAATTTTAATAAGACTAATAGCCGATTTCACCAACGTCACCTAAGTTTAAGGGATCTCCTAAGCAGGGTTAGAGGGCTGTTAGGGGACAGTTTCTGTATCACCGACAGTTAAGGGTCACCTAAAAATTAAAAAAATAAATAAAATGCCACCTAAATATAGGTACTAGAAATAAGGGCTCTTACGATGGTAAACGAAATTTAATTTAGGGGCTAGTTAAGCCAGCCCTAAAGGGGAACTTTTAAGCTAGGGATCCCATATGTAAGTGGTAGCTTAAGTGATGTTGGTGAAATCGGACCATAAATATGTCAGTGTCTCTGTGTGTTTGTTTGTTGCTCCTTCATGCTGAAACGGCAGGATAGACTGACCAAAGGCTACTGTTAAGCAGCCACTTCAACAAAGCAGGGTAATTGCACTGTAGTATGCAGAAGTAATATGAAAGCTATTTAAAAGGAAAAATGAACAATCTAATTTTTGTATGAAACATTGTACTTACATATTTAACTTTTTTGTAAGAATTTACCTGTCTCTTGCATCTAATGTTCTCCATTTTTCATCAGGTGTTGTTGAAATCCTGGAGCTTAGTTTATGTAACTCCGCAGCTGCTTCAATAATGCTAAGGCTTGTAGAGGTAGTAGCCACCAAAACTGGTGATTCAATGCTACTGGTGGTTTGCTTTCTGAAAATAAAAGTAATTCATTTCTTCATAATACCTTCTTAGTTTTGTTTCTTTTCAGAAACCAAAAATCAAAATAAATCTGCAAAAAGATAGTTTTATTTAAAATTTAACCTAACTACTTCATGTTTTTGTCAATCTTAATACTGATTTATGCCAACCCGCACTTGGCTAGCTAGGTGGACTATGGCCTGATTGCCCCTCATATTGAAGGGAGACCCGTGCCCGGTGCCCAGCAGTGAGACTTTAAAAAGAGCTGAATGCAATACTGATTTATATGTCTCATCTCATAAACTCATATTTTGTATCACACATTTTTATAGTACTTACATTTTGTTAAAAATACTTTACACATTTTGAAATATTACCCACTAAAAGTTAAATTATAAATTAATAAAATAACTAATTTATAATATACTTACTGAATTACTGGTTGAATTCTTTTAGGAGTTGTAATTAAGTTTTTCTTTGCTATTGGTGATTTAATTTGTTTTGATTGCAATTTAGGAGTATCAATATCCATTGCTGAAATATAATGTAAATTTATAACAGCTCACACAAGTAAAGAGGGTTAATCATTTTAAACTAAGTTTAAACCATGTACTCAATATAGATTTCTATGCAGCAATTATAAGCAAATAAAACATAGCCTCACTCTAATCTTATATAGCTCTCAAAGGTCATATACAAGATATATTTGTAAAACCAAATATCAAGCCACGACATCCTCCCAATAATTATATATGAAAATCTGATACAGAATTAATTTTAATAGACATCAAAAAGCGCTTCCTACACTAAAAAGTTTAAAAAAGTTAAAACTCACTTTTTTGCCTTGAAATTCTATAGGTTGGTGCCCCATTCATTGCATTTAATTCTTCTTCAACTTCAGGATCTGGTAACCATTCAGGATCATCCTCTTTTTTACTCCTTCTTCTCCTACAAAGTCATTCTTTAATAATAGTAAATAGTTAATAGTTTATTTGAATTGTATTTATTCATTTTTATACACTTACACCCTAGGTTTTGTACGTGTTACGTCAAACATAAAACCATCATAAGCCCCTGCATTTAATACAGCTCTCTCAGCTGAACTTTGTTGGTCATACTCAATTATACACATCTGTTTCTTAGGCAGTAGCTTAATCCCTACAACCTTGCCAAATTTACTAAAATGTTTATTTACAACTTTGGCGTCAAATAATCCTTCTGGCACCTTAGTACAGCTGTAAAAAAATCCAATATGAAGGTAAACAGTAAAGTAACAAAAAATAAATTGTTAGTATTAAAGTACTTACGTAATAGAAGTTTTATTGTTAATCTTATCTAAATGTGAACTTCTCAATATTTTTTGAGGACTTATGGGAAATTCTTCATCCATATTAATAAAATTTTATTAATTACAACCTAACGCAATAGATTATTTATAATTTAGAAATAACGTGTTTCATAAGTTGTAACTTAGTCCACTATTATAATTTCTTTTTAAGTCAAATCAATGACTAAGTGCAAAAATCACTAATAATATTTAAATCCAACACAAGAACAACACGACGAAATGTATTAAAAGATTTTTAACGAATAACGACATAATCATAGATAAAAAATATAAATCTTCCTTTTACAGATAATATGAAAAACAAAATGTCAAAACTTTGTAAAAAAAAACCGTAAAAAGGCTGCTCTACACTTTCGCAGAGACTACTCGAATATAATTAATCGTTTAATATTTTTTAATGATATAATTATAAAAACGTTTGTATATCAATGACTTTTTTTAATTGAATTATATTTTAATTTATTCGTCTTCCCGAGTCCCCTTACTCGCCGGATTTCCATATGAAATCTGCATATCCGCAAATCTGCACTGGCGTCTTAGTTAACATTCGTGCCTTTATATTGCCATAATAGTTGTTGAAAATAATTTTTGGCTAATTATTAAACCTCTAACTTCATTCGTTTTTGGAAAATGGGGGTTGCAACCCCTAACTTCAAAATATTTTTTTTACGAAACTATGATAGATATTTGAATAAAACCAAAGCGACATAAAGGATCCTAACTGGATTTATATTACATATTTTTTTCATAATTGTCCAAATAACTATAAGACTACACAAAAATATAAAAAAAAATAGTGGCTATTTCTAGAGGTACACATAACAAAAAAACCACATATAATTAGCAAGTATCTGACTATAACTAACTAAGAATACTAATTTGGTAATTGTTAAGACTTAACATACCGAAACACCGTCAGGAATCTTGGACTGTATTTCGACAAATCCTTATAATAAGCTGCTTGATCTCCCGCGGTAAAAAGTATAGGTAAGTATAAGCCTATGTCATTCTCCAGCCCTCTATTTCCACAAAAAAAATCACGCCAATCCAACACTCCGTTTCGACGTGAAAGAAGGACAAACAAACACACTTTCACATTTATGTATGGTTGTAGTGTATGTACGAGTATGTATGGTATGGATTATGTTCGAATGTGAAATACATAAAATGTAAAATTAAAAAACAAATTTAGTTTCAGCTTAACTCAGATCCTCTCTCCGGAATCCCTATCCGGATATGAAAAACAATGACAGACCAAGAAGATTCATTAATTGTAATCGAAGTGAAAAAAATCTACTATGGGCTCTGGGATAGGAAATGAAAGTAGTATGCACTTTAGATATTTTAGGTAATGCTTTTGGTTCATGTTTTGTTTTCCACAGTTTTGGCATAACTCAGTCCCAGAGCACTATTTTCCACCATTATTCACACTATGACTTATTCCACTTTTCCTCACTCTTTCGCCTTCTCGTATTTCTCTTAGCTCCGAAATTTAACTGAACTCTCCACACACTGCCGCTCTTTTAATATGCATAAACAAAGGATATTCTAGTATTCGCGAATATCTTCTAGTAATTTTTAATTCATTTTAGTTCCATCGTACATCGTACTGAGCGGAGCATATTTCTTACTTGGCGTAGGCATATCTCTCTCTTAGCAGTATATAGTAGAGCCTCAATCTCGATCGAAGAGAGATCTCTCTCTCTCTCTCTCTTGAAATCAAAGATATATTTACTGTTCGATCAACGGTTGTTGAAGATATTTGGATAGAGCATTAAAGAGTTTTGAGTTTTCATTGGCCTTTCTCAATAAAACATCATTCAAAGCCATTCATTCAATAAAACATGTTCATTCTTTATTTTCGTCTAATTGTAATACTTTCTTAGATTTACGCGAATGTTTGACATTATTAAATAAAACTATCTTTTCGGATTATTTCGCGGATTTATTGTTGATTTTTGGTTCCCGACGTTTCGAATGCTTTACAGCATCCATGGTCACGGGAGAGACTGAGGTGTTACATGTCTTAAAGATATAGTTGTTACAGACAGCCTACCCACAATTAACAAAATGAAAATTGCACCAATTACATTACAATATTTTTTTTTTATCTTTTATTATTTAACTTAAAACATTTTTATATATTTTATATATATCCGAAAAGATAGTTTTATTTAATAATTCGTCTAATTGTTTTTTTTTTTAATTTAAATCTAGGGTTCAAATGTAATCGGTTTTTGTATTCTACGTAGAAATAACAATATAAAAGTCTTATGATATACTTAGCTAAATAGCTACATATTTGGAATTAGCTGTTCAGATTTTATTTGTTACAGAAACAAAATATTTTTTAATCCTTTTTGAGGGCATGGATGATAATATCTTCAATATTGAAGATTTTTTAGTTTCACTTAAAGCCAACATTTCCTTATTTTTAAAAAGATTAATAACTGCATTTAATTCTTTTTTTAAATCACTCTAATGAGTCGGTTATCGAACCAACTAAAAATTCTATAAATTAATAGAATTTTTTTTTTAAAAAACAAACTTTTATACGTTTATATTCTTCTTTTAGCGTATTAAAATAAAAATGTTTTTTTTTACTATTAATTCAGTTCACAATTCATGGTGCTGACAAGTCACAATGTTTACAAGTCACAGTTAAATATTTTTTTAAAGTTTACATGCCTAATGATGAAATATCGGGAAAACAAACATAAACAGCAAAAAAATAATAACGGACGGTCGGGACTTATATTCCAATTTCAGTCCGTGGATTCCACAATATAAGTATTAAAATACTAAATTTAGCTCTATCACAGTTCATATACCTACTTCTATACTAGTAACTCTATATTGCACATACTCGTAATTAGACTACTTACTTATTTTAAAGAAGTTATATATTTTAGTGGCATTATAAATTATTATACTTACAATTAGTATCATATTTTTAAAATTATTTATATACCCTTGGTCCATGAAGTCAAAGTGCTATACACTTCTTAACACCTCGTCTTCTCGCCGGAGAGCCAGCTCATTTTCCCCCCAAAGAATCGGCATTGACATGACTTGTACAGTAATAATTAAATGTACATTTGTTTTGTGTGTATAATTCAGTATATTTGTAATTTTATTGTAAATAAAGTTAATACAAAATACAATATTTGAGGTGCAATTTTATATTCTAGATGCTATTACAATCGGTTTCGATGATGTAAGACGTCGCGCACAGTTCCGCAATGTTCCGGATGTTGATAGTTGTCACTTTCTAGTTTCAATTTTTATTTTATAGTTTCTATAAATTCATAGGTTATTTGAACAATGTTTTATCTTGTATGTTTCAGTCGTATACGCTTCATATTTAAAAGAATTATTATAAAAACGTTAATAATTTTTACAATTAATACCTACTAATAATAGTGTTAAAAAATTAAAATTTACGACTTGCTCAAGATTCAAGTAGCATATTATAACTTGTAATTTTTTATAGCAAATATTATATCACTAGCATTGCCCGCGGCTCCGCCCGCGTTCAGATGACCAAAAACAAATTCTTAGGTTTTACAGATTAGTATATTCTTACATTGCAGTTTTTGCATTTTTTCTCAGAAAAGAGATATTTTCCCGTGGTGAAAAGTATCCTATATTTTAACCCGGATAACCAGCTATCACCATATCATATTTCATCAAAATCCCTCCCGTAGTTTTTCTGTGATGCGGTAACAGACAAACAGACCGACAAAAATTCTAAAAACTATAGATTCGGCCTCGATCTGTATCGATAATAATGTTTATTTCAATAAGATTTTCCAAAAATTATTTATTGTACAGATTCAGCTTAGTTACAATTTTATTATATGTATGGATTAAATTGGAACCTTGTTTATTTGATTAGGATTAAGTAATTTCTACATATGCACACCCAATTAAAGCCAAAAGAAGTGTCCTTTTACACTAAACTCGCGGCTAGCGACACATGCAATGTCATTACATCATTGAGTCCTGTTCGTGTTAAGGCCTAGGCATTGCTGAATCAGTGAATCACCTCGAATGACGTCACCGCCATAAATTCGGGTGTCGCATTCCGGTGAACGAAGCGATTATATAAAAGAAAGTGGCGCGGCCGCGTAGCGACCTTGCGCGGTGAAAGGCGTGGCAAGTAGCACAGCCGGAACTCGCTCTTCCCACGATCCCGCGCCTCTCGCCAACTACGCCGTTATCCGCGACTTTCGGTAACCGGTTGAGTTCGCAAAAAATGCACAATTGGACCAGCGCCAGCGACCGGACGACATAAAATACGGAATGTCGGCAATTTGTTTACGAATTTCCAACTCGGTGTAATGATAGCACAATAATAGAACCTTGGACGTGTATAGTTCCATTTTCTTAACAAACGCTTAAAATTTTTAAAATACCATTTTTCGAGATTAACAATCTACAGGTACCTAATTAGGAACTGCAATTGGAGGAGTAATCACATGGATTGGTCAGGATATTGAAATGAGATTTGATCATCATCAAATTTATCATCATACACCTACAATGTCAAAAAGTCAATGAATTAAACTTAGTTATGAGAACGCAAACTTCTATTTTGAACTCATATTTGAATGCACAAGTAAAGCTACTTGCTTTACATGTTTCTACGAAATACTAAGATAATAAAAAACGTAATATCTATCCAGAGTAATCGTAATTATTGTTTCGTGTACTCTTTGCAGGATACTTACATATACCTATCCACGCCGTCAGCCTGACATTTATATCCGATTGCTCGCCCTCACCCGCGCTAAATCTGACACATCGCTATGTTTGTATCCGAATATTTTAATACACATAAACGTAATAATTATGTACAGTACAAGTAAAGAGACACTGCAAATTGTTTTTTCCAAATCTGATCTTTTTTGCATTATGGTTTAAATTTTAAGCCACAACATGTCATTTTTTATAAATCTTAATTAAATAATTTAGTATATATGACTTATGTTTTATACTCAGTTTTTAAAGTATACCTACTCTCTAATTGTAAATAATAT